GTTTCGGTAACATAGTTACCATCATCTAGACTAACATCTACAGTGTTAGCGTATAATATATTCAGGTACAATGCATGCATTGTAGCTATATTTAGCTAAATGTATTATAAGTTAACAATATAGATATTAGCCTTGATGATGGCAACTGTGTTACCGAAACTAGTCGGCTGTAGGTAATAATATTTCACCTTTCATTGTGCCAAAAAATGTCGATTTTTGTGTTTTTTACTCTTAATATAGTAGCACAACATGCCTGAAAAAAAATTATGTTTTAACAAATTTAATATTTTTTGCCTTTTCAATCCAGAATATAACTAAAGCTGGTGCAAACAAAGTTTAAATTCATTCCTTTTTATTCACTCTAAAATATTTTGCATTTCAGTAAAATGTTTCATAACATAGACCAAAATTCACAAGAACTATGTGAAATAAATACTGCTCAAGTATACTTGTCCTATTAATAGAAATTACAGTGAACCTATTTCTCAGTGGAGAGAAGAAAGCTTTTTTATTTTGTTATGAAGCAGATTTAACCACTATATGGTGATTCAACTCATAGTTCAGTAAATCTTTCGGCATAAGAATAAAAACAAATAAATTAATACATACTAAGAATAAATTTCACTTTTTTTTAATATCTACATCTATACAAGAATCTAGAGGTGTATAAGGAAAGCTGCATTCAAGAAAACCTGTTTTTTGTATTTTTTTCTAAAAAATGAAAAGTGCCTACAAAGTTTTTTTTGCTAAAAATGATAAATATAACTAAAAACATAATATAAACACTCTTCAAGCCTTTTCTTCCCCATTCACCAAATTAATCCAGAAGATATACAACTGAGAAAGATTAATTACAACAAAACTCAATGTTATTAACTTTTTCAACCCAGGCTCGGTCCATAGGACTGACCTCGTAACCATTTTGTGCTTGTTATAGTTTTCATTATATAACTTTAAATTAGTCAGCAAACGTTAATCAAATTTGGCAGATTATCAGTAAACATTACGATGAGTTCATACACAAAATATCTAATTTTTTAGTAAGTCTGAAGGTTTGTAAAGCAATGTTTCTTTCATGCCTTTTTTTTTCTTTTCACATCTTGCCTATCTATCATGCAAATTAATTTTCATCTTAACATTCAACATACTTTTATCCATTAGAAAATATCGAAATTTCATATGCAAAATCTTAATAATGTCCAGATAGTAATCAAATGTTTCTTAAGAAAAAACTTTATATTTTATCTGTTATTTTCAGTAATTAATCTCTGTACTGATTGGATAGATTTGACCAATCTCGTAACCACCGTAAAAAATTAGGAAATAAACATAAATTATGCATCTTTCATTCTAGAATGAACACAAATTATAATATGAAAACATAAATGTTTAGACGAAATAGCTTAAATCTCATAATATTATACATTTATATATATT